AGCAACTGTTAGTTCTGCATTGTCCATGATGACGTAGGAGTGGTCACCCACTTTTCAGTGCCGAGGAGTGGAGGAACATACTGCAGGCAGTTGGGGAATCTTGGCGTAAGGCAAGTATTCCTCTTTGAGACCTTCCCCTCGAAATATGGGCATTATTTTCTTCATAGGGTGGCAGGGGGGTAGTGGCCGGGAGCTCCGCTTCAGTTTTTCCATCTCTGGCATAACTAGTTTACTTAATTAAATGTCATGGATAGTCTCTTAAATATTTGGGCTTGCTGTAAATAATTTTTTTATATCCGTATATAGTTTGTGTAGAACTGCCAAGCAGGAAGCAGGGCCTTAAGTACATAATGAGTAAAAATTACTGCTGCCTTGTATATTACAATGATTGTACTTTACTTCTCCTAACAATGCACGTCTATAAGATGGCCAAACAATGCACTGATTGTGTGGCTGATATGCCATTTAGAGTAATTGAAGCTAATCCTCCCTGTCTATCTCGCCGCTAATGGTCTAGCTACACATTTTTACATCGAAGGCAATAATAAAAACTAGAAAAATCAAAATGACCTTTCATTTAAAATGAAGAAAAACATATAAGTACGGTAGATCCTTTTACTCCATCTGCTTCCCTTGAGATCTTCTCTCCAGGTGAAAAGAAAAATAACTGACAAGTGTTTAAAGCATGTACTATGAAGGGATGCAAAGAGTTAACTTCGGCATGATGTGTTATTTGCCATACCAACTTTTATTTCCACTAGGTATGCACCGATACTGATGCTAATATCGGTATCAGTACTCGTACTCGCCCAAATGCTCCTATGCCTAGCCCGATACTTCCTGTATCAGGAAGCCGGCTCCATGCTCCCTCGTCACTTGTGACAAGAGAGCATGGAGTCGGCTTCCCGGCCAATCAGGAAGCCCGACAGCATGTATTGACTCGCTGCCCGGCTCCCTCACTGGTCGGGAAGCTGGCCAATCAGGAAGCTGGGTGCCGTGTAATGACACGACGGCCAGGAAGCCGGCTCCATGCTCCATCACTTCATGATGAGGGAGCATGGAGCCGGCTTCCTGGGCCAAGCAGGAAGCCGGGCGCCGTGTCACTACATGGCGCCCGGCTTCCTGATTGGTCAGAAAGCCAGCTCCATGCTTTCACGTCACGTAGTGACGATAAGCCTGGGGGCAGCTTCCCTGCTAATCGGGAAGCCGGGTGGCGAGTCAGTACACGCCGCCTGGCTTCCTTAATAGGACATGCGCTATCAGTGTTCGGTATCGTAAAAAAATATCAGTACTCGATACCGAAATACCGTCATCTGTGCATCCCTAATTTCAGCCATATTGTTAACATTTTCAGCCCCCATTGACTTTCATTGCCAGAAATAACACCTTTTGGCAAATAAGGATTTTTATAGGTTAGGAAAGAGTAGGCTGGACAAATTTTTTTTTGGTTTTGTCTTTTTTTTGAGCCAGCTCCATTGACCACAATTAGCGAAAACTGTAAAAGTTGGGCACCAACTGTAATTTTTAAGAAGCATTAGGAACCTGGCTGCTGGGATTTTTCCAGCTCTGCTATTGTTTGGTGCTGAACATGTTGTAGTGGCTGCTCCCCCCAAATGCTTAGGTTTGATAGGTAGAGGTAACACAGGGACATTTGTGGTTTCATTCTGTTTTCTTCCCGTTATCCACTAGTTTGTGGTTGACCATACATGCATTTGTTAGCTGTGTACACTGTCATCACTTTGCATCCATTACACAGGGTCAGGCTCATGTGTCAAGGAGCGCTTGTCTGCTACGTGTCCGGATTACCAGCACACAGACTCCCTCCGAGATCATCCTATTCTGGTTTATCAGAGAAAGTTCTGCATGAATGGGCACTCACTAGTTTTTTTTTTTTTCTAGCTTGGTAAGTGTTTCAGTCTTCCTTTGTAGTATACTATATGTTTTAGTCATGAATGTGCGGTTTTAGACTGGGCACAGACAGGTGCAGGTATCTGGGTATCCAGCTGCTTGGTTTCAAAACCAAATCTGTGCTGATCTTTTAACCGATGCCTTCATGTATATTATTAGTTGTCTCTTGGAGAACTCTGGGCGCCTTAAATCGCAATTATGCAGAGCTAGAAAATAAACTCTTTGCGCCTCAGGCTCCATTCACACGGGAGTGGTTTTCCACGTGTATTCATACGTGCCATACGAATACGTGCAGAACTGCTCTAGACATTTTAAAAAAAAATGCTCTTTAACATGCATTGTTCAGGCTTTAGCGGGACAAAACCATGTGTCCCGCAAAAATAGTACAAGCGCAATTTTTTGGGGTGGATTCCGCACGTTCACGGCTATAGTAATAGCTGCAAATGAGCAGAATCCTTCCCCTCATGCACTCAGAATTTTTTATTTTTGTTACTGTGTTGGAGAATTTTGATGCTTCTATGCTGTCTTTCGGCGGTGTGGGGGACCAGTAATCCCTTGCCGCAGATGTGGCCACACCGACTGGTTCACTCACACGGAGGACATTACTCAACTCTGTTTTCTGGATCCTGCCGCTGGACTACCCATGGGAAGTGTTCATGTCACACAGGCTGTGATGTTGACACCACAAGAAGGACCCTTGGGATCGCTATGTCACTTGATTTAGGGGAGTAAAAGAGGCATTTAATCATTTTTTTTTTTCAACCTCTAATAAATGAGTTAGTGGAGGTGGGGGCAGGTTGTATTGGATGCGATAAGAATATGGACACTGGCCCTCCAATGGTAAATAGAATGTCTATTGACGTATATGCAAAAAAGCATAACACACTTATGTTTCGTGGTCACGTAGGATCCCCTTCATCAGGCCGAACAAGCCCTTGTGCGATGAAGGGGATCCTACGTGACCCAGAAACGTTGCACTAAGTGTGTTATGCTTTTTTGCCTGTAAGTCAATAAATAGACGTATTCTATTTGCCATTGGAGTGCCGGTGTCCATATTCATATCGTATCACAGAGACGGTGGCCATCCGTCGACTAGCAATTACACCCACTTTATCTTGATGGAATAGCGGTCAGGAGTTGAACTGTAACCAGGTTATATTGGATGGGTGTGGACAGAGAGGAGCTTCGACACTGTGTACATTTTGGAAGGGGCATATGTGAAAAGTAAGAAAACCTGTAGTGGGTTTTGGATCAGTTTTACAATTGCAAGTTTTTAAAAGGTTTTTTTTTTTTATGGTAAGCATATACAGTAGTCTGTTTTACAAACGTTTAAATACTTGTCAAAGGATTCCTAGAGCACTGCAGGTTCACTAGAGACATTTGTCTGTCAACTGAGACCTTCGACTGATATGAGGCTTTCATAGCTCAATATCACCGCTCCTTTACAGCAGCATGACAGCCCATTATTGGGTAAAACATGTCGGAGTGAAGAGGATCCATGGCGGGACAATGTGAACTAGTGTGCTACAACAAACTTTTCAGCGAAGCCTGTGGTGTGACGACCGGGCTATTTTTTGTGTGAGTAACTCGTGAGGCTGTACTGCTATCTGCGGCTCTATTAGATTTCCCCTCTTCCTGTTTTAGGGGCAGTCTTTTACCAGACAGGAAGTGAGGGAAAATCCTGCAACAGGGAAAGCGGCAATAAAAAGCTGACAGAGGTTCTAACATTCCACCCCCTAAAAAAACATTTTTTACTTCTTGCATGATATTAATAATTACAACAGCATAAAAGATGACACACTAAGCCAGTCATAGAATCAGCATGTAGAAACATAACCCAGCTTAGTATACTTCTACCAACGTCAGATCATCCTTGTATCTATAGAGTATATTACACGTTGTCCAGTCCTATAAATATAGGTGTCCATGCTAGACGTGGTACTGTATCACAGACAAAGACAATAGTGGTAGTGATGCGTTTCGCAGGATAAAATCAGACTTTACTGTATTTGGTGATGCATATATGCATCCGGGGGCAGGCCACTCTCTGTCTTCTGCCAGGCATCAAAAATCGTCTGACCCGGGGATAATAGGGGAATCCTAGAAGGCCCAGAGAAAGATCAGGTGTCCACGTAGCCAAGCCAAGTGCTGAGCTGGGTTGTTGAACGATGTATATTGGGCGTTGACAGTACAGCGTGAATTGCTAAATACCTGTCTTTTGGATAATATTACTGCTATTTGACCAGCCGCGTTGCATTTTGGAATAACCTAACAGTATATTGTTTTATTTATTTAAATGGATTCATATAGTTAGGAAGTTGTTTTTTGTTTCGTACAGACAAGTTGGATTGGGAGACACTGAGTTACTTTGTTTTTGAGCTTTTACTTCCATCTTACCATTTTACATACAGGCCAGGCTCAATGGGATGAATTTTCTCTTTCCTGCAGTTGGGTCTAGACCAGTGTTCAGCTCTCAGCACATTCAAGGGTCCAGTTCTGCCTTATTCCGCTTCAGAGACCATTGCCCCTCAGTCTTTTGATCATGACCTTTGAACCAAGATGCAGATTGCATTTGTTTGACATTATAGCAACTAGAGGGATAATCTACATCAATATGATATACAATTATGAAAACATTGCATCCAAAAATAACTTTTGGTTACATTTTACAATGACTGAAAATATTTTCTCACTGATATCTTCGAGTTTTATTTTTCAAGCAAGCTGGTCATTAGAGAAGTCTGGGGAGCTGCCTTTGCTGGCCTTTTACTTCTGAAAATGCTAGTGGCCTAGAAGTATTTCAAGTCGCAGACAATTTAGGATTTGCTGAAAGGTAAAAGGACAAGGCTTTTAAACATGCTAAATGTCTAGACTTCTGGTCATGTGACCAGCCTCTGAAGGAAGCCCATAGCAGCATTTTCTCCAGTAAAGATATTTAGGCTCCGCTTGTGCTCTGTTAATACATTCCAGCGTGACTGTTAACATAGCATTGAAATGACATTGTAGTTACCCTTTAAATCACCCACTGGCTGTTAAAGTATCTGATCACTTAATGTTTTTTTTTTTTTCTGTTTTCTTCTTTGTTTCTGCAGTCTTAGCTATGGAGGCGGACACCCATCTCATTCAGAAACCGAACTTCTTCACCGACAAACCTATGCAGCCACCCATCAGCTGCCTGGATACGCTACCACACACCATCCTACAGGTAGTGCATGTTGAGTCAGAGCTGCACATGACTGCATACATTTGACAAAGCATGTCTGGTTTGTAACCTAAACTGCATGTGAAAGATGTTGCAATAACTTTAAGTAAAAAAAATAATAATATTATTCAAGTAAAGCCTCATAAAAAACAGACAGTGAAAAAAATTACTATTTACAGCTAAACTCTAGGCAAACATATCTGTGAAAAATAAGTCAAGGCAACAGGACTTGCTGTATTTTTCTTGAAGACGTTTCACTGAACGGAAGACCCGCATCCGGCGGAGAGGTGAGTACCGATCAAAATTTTAGTTGATCAAAAAAATTATTAATCGAGGAATTAATCGTTAATTTCCGCAGCCCTAATATAAACTATATGGCCAAACATTTGTGAGCACCTGACTATTATACCTAATGAACTTGTTGGAAAACCTATTCCAAAACCATATGCAGCAACCCTCCTCCTTTGCAGCCATAACTGACTCCATTGTGCTGTAAAGGAGCAGCAACAGACTGTTGAGCTCACACTTTTGCTCTCTTCTGTAATCTTTCTTTGTCTTGTTTATTTTAATACTGCACATCTCATTGGCTTCTACTGCCTAAGACTTTATAGTAGGACAAAGAGGTGAGAATTGCAGCAGAGAATCTCATTTCTGAAGTTCCTCAACTATTTTTGGAGGCAGGGAATTGTTCAGCCTGCCTGTTTCCAGCCTTAAAGTTTCTGCTCTTTTACAAAATAGTTGATGGTCGTAGTACAAATAGAGAAGGTGAATTAAAAACAAGAGATCCGTTCCAACCCCTCATCACGTTATGCGAAGAGAAAATCAAACCTTTGGCTTCAGATATACTTTAAAATAACCAGTTTGGGTGGCCTTAACCAATGAGTTCTAAATTTGCTCCAATACAGTCCTTTTAACAGAAACTGTCTCCACATCAGTAAGTTGTACTGACTGTGTTGGTGCTTAGGATAGAAGAAATATTAAGTCACCCTTTCAGCACAGGGTCACTCGTAAAGAATTACTTATCTTTAATAGATGAGGCAATATACTAGGGATGCACCAATACCGAGTATTGGGGCGCGTACTCGGCCAAGCTGGCCAATCAGGAAACTGGGCGCCGTGTAATGACGTGGCGCCTGACTCTCTGATTGGCTGGAAAGCCGGCTTCATGCTCCCTCATGACGGAGGAGCATTGAGCGGGCCAATCGGACAGCCGGGCGCCACTTCATTACATGGCGCCTGCTTTCCTGATTGGCCGAAAGCCGGTTCAATGCTTTCTCGTCACCTAGTGATGATAAGCATGGGGCCGGCTTCCCTGCTAACCGGAAAGCCGGGTGGCGAGTCATTACACGGCGCCTGGCTTCCTTAATGGTACTTCCGGTATCAGTTTTTGGTATTGGCGAGTACCTAAAAAAATTTCGGTACTCAATACAGAAAAAACGGTATCGGTGCATCCCTACAATATACTTCTCTTTCTGGTCACCAGTTTGTTGAAACACTGTTTGTTTTTTTTGGTGCTTTCTGACTACTGCACATATTCCACACTTCCAAGTGTGTGGAATACCTGATTCAGCTCCCCTCTGTGGTTTAACCTTCTGGTTCATACCTCAGCACAGGGTGTGCGAGCCAGTGGGAGGAACTATTGCATGCAGTGGGGAAATCTGGCCAGTCAAATACCTCCAGTGGCTGGCGGGCAACAAAGAGATGACGTTTCAACAAATTGGCCACAGGACAAGTATAGAGCTCTTCTTACTACAAGTAGAAAATTCTTTGAAGAAGAAACTGATACATAAAAAATGAGAGCTGTGTATTGTGCAGTGTGTGCTTCTATTCTATGCTATATGAAAATAATTAAAATTCATCTCTCCATGGTCTCAGGTCTCTCTGGAATCTTTGACACAAGCCTGCACATGGCAGGTGGAAACACTACAGAAACATCCGTGATGAATTTTCTGTCTGCTATAGAGTCTCGGACTGCTCAAGCTTCATCAGGCACAACCCTCCTGCCACAATTCAGGGCCCCATCATGGCAGACGGGTAATAGTAATTTGTTTTTATATTTGTAGATGGCTTTGTGACGTGAGATATGCATGACTATCAGTTATCATAGGGTTTGGGTTATTCCTGTAGCTATTCCTGTAAGCATACTTTGCCACTTTTTTGAATTTTGCTGGTATGGCAGCCAGCAGAGTCTACAAAAACATGCGGAAGAACAGAAAGGGTGAAAGAAAAATAAATGTTATTGAAACTATGAAGAGTACACAGCAAATATTTCACATGGTGAAGTATGAAAAATGTTTTATTCTACACTCCTTGATGGGGATATTATTGCTTACGGTTATTGGTCTGTTAGCCCATTGGTTAATTGTGCTAACCTGCCAGGAGACTTATAGGGTTTTCCTTTGTCACCAATGGTTATGTTTCTTATTGCTGGCCGGAACCTGGAATCGGCTACTTACCAATCTCATCTGTTTCACACATGTTTTCCTTTTTTTGGGGGGATTAAAGTGTGACTGATTTTAATATTTAAATCTGATTTTTTTAAATACCACAGGTCTGCTTTATGTTAAAAAGGAACTTTACCCATATCTTCAAAATGACAAAAAAAAGGCACTTTTACAAATGTTTAGTAATGGCGATCTACAAACTGATACTTCTAGATAATTGCCAGCTTTTAATTTTTGCATACCTTATTTCTCTTTTTTGCCCAGTCTTCTAACAGTGGCCATTTTACCTAAGGGCAAGTTACTAGATTTCTTTTTACTTCCTGGAAGTCTGGTGAGTGACTAGGACATGTGACCATGCACATAATCTCAGGGGAGGAAAATGCCTTTCCCTGAGATCTCATGAAATTACAGATGAGATTTCCCATCTCCATTCTGCTGATGTAACCTTCCCAGGATGCAATGCTTGGGCACAGATTATATCTTTTGTGCCAAAGTGGACCAGGAAGTGGGGAGAAAAAGAAATGATTAGTAAAATAAAAATGTTTGTTTAGCTAATGAATGTAAGATGATTTCATATCTGTGTGCAGAACTGTATGCTGATGTGATTTTTAGTCAAAGTGGGTGAAGGTCCACTTTTAGGATGCATGTTCTCTTTCCTGTAGGATTCCGGTTTTTCATGTAGTAGCTCACCGTAATTGAGGACCTCCCTTTTAAGTTCCTCCTGCTGGGAGGAGGTTGAGGCTTCGTTAAAGAACAAAAAGTTAATACATTATAGATTGCTAGCCCTTAGATGTGGTGGCTCCATTAGTTGTCTTTTATTTCAGGCTTCGTATATTTTCCACAAGTACAAAAAAAAAAAAATACCGGTTGATCTGAATCCAGTGTCCTTGTAAATTTCTGTGCACTCAATCGAAATCTCAAACAATCAGCTTTCTAAGATATCTTCTGTTATCTACATAACCCCTTCTTCCCGTGTAATTGAGATAAGGCAAGGGGGAGATGTTTGTAGACTAAATCAGGAGAGCAGCCTAGGGTGACAATTCTGTTTCTTCATTGGTACAGTACAGTGAGCGAGTACCCCTCACTGTGACAAGAAATATGTTACTGGCAGGGTGAAAATATAGAAACAAAATGCCTTAAAAAGGAAACTAGTGCAGCCACCAAATCTAATGCAGCATATATGGTTTTGTTTTGGGGGATTAGATACACTTTAATGATGTTCAGATACCTGTTCTGCTTGCTTCTAAGCAATATACAGCTACTACCCAAATGGCTGAAATCCACTGTTTAGTGGTATATAATAATTGAGTTGCCACAGTTTGAACTGTATCATCCATGACTGATCTTGGACAATTGATTATGTGATCAGTTATGTGGAGACATGATTAGAAGACGAGACATTTTTATGTGGCTCTCAAAATCAAAAACTGTTCAGAAATTGCCTGTGTAGCTTACATGTTAGTGGTTAGGTTTTCTTCCCTTTTTTTATGAGACTTTTTTCCCCCCCCAGGTATGCATTCCTCAGCAGCAACAGAATTGTTTGTAACCGGAGCCCTTCAAACATCTGGAACATTTCCAACTTCTGCGCTCTCAGCCTATCAGCATCCCAACACATTCAGCTCTAGAAACTTTGCCACAACTCCATCCTTACTTCAGGATGGGACTTTCAGTGCTACTACCAATGGTCTGCTCTCTCACCACGATCCTCTGCTGTCGATCAAGACCTCACAGACTCCAACTGCCTTGACTTTTGAGCGTCTGGGCAGTGCAGTGCTGAGTACCAGCATACCACAGTCTTCAACATATCGGTCTGCGCAGGAATCTGCGCCACATCTCTTGCAGCCCCAGTTCAGTTTATTGCCAACGGCACTTGGGTGCACGCAGCAGACAGCTCAGCCATACAGTACATCGGTCTTTACTGGTTCTACTGCCTCCATCGAAAGAGCACTTCAGAGGGAATGTAGTGTTATTAAACACCATCAGAGGCCTTCAAGTACACAGTCTGTACAGGCACAGCTTTCTGGTACTCAGCATTCCTTGCAGAATTACTTAACAAGTGCAACTGGGGCTGCCTTGTCTGACACAGCGAGACAGTCTGCTCTTTTATGTGCTCCACTTGGAGCTCTTACTCAGGTGAGCAATGGTGGACCAGTGCAGAAAACCCCTCAAGTTTCTGTAGAGTTATCTCAGTCATACCCATCTGCCATACCATCTCCAGGTTTTCCACCCTCCTCTACAAAAACAAAAAACTGCCCAACAAAGGCACCTCCAAGGTCAACAAAGACTCCAAAATCTCAGAGCGTAGCTTCTCCTGGGCAAACCCAGAGCTATACCAAGTCTCCTCAAAGCCAGAGTTCAGTCATTTCAAGCCAAGCACAAGCCTTTTCCACAGCACAGTTAAGTAGTCTTCTGCCTGTAAGCCAGTCACCCATCTATGTCTCAACACAGTCCCCAAACTTGCCATCTGCTAGTCAATCACAAGTCTTTTCAACAATCAAATCAGAAAAGCTGCCTCCACTGTACAAACCACTGACCGCATTCTCAAGCCAATCGCAAACCATAACCTCCAGCAGCCAGACACTAAGTTACTCATCCGATCAGCAGCCACTTACACTGTCTTCAGTTTCAAGCGAGAACTATTCTGACCAAACACGAGAACTGTCTTCAGCTAGCCAGACGCAAAGTTATTCTTCCAGTAACACTCAGGGTTTAACTCCGGTCAGTCAATCGCAAGTTAGCTACTCATCTCAATCACAGGTGATGTCACCAGTAAGTCCTTCAGATAGTTATAATTCAGGACAGAACCTACCACTAGCATCCCCATCTCTTCCATACTCTGCTTCCTCTCGTGGGCAAACTATGCCTGCGTCAAGCCCAACTCAGAATTACATGTCTATGCATTCATCCCAGAACACACAAGACTCGACTTCTCCACAATCTCAGAAATTTTTGACAAATGTTCCATCGCCTTCATTTGCATCTTCAAGTCACTCACAGACATTGCAAAACAATAGAACCTCTGTGGACTCCAAAGCCTATGTGAAGAGGAAGTCTGACTCTAACCTCTACACATCTGTAAAGCAAGAGGATAAGTTTCAGATGCAGGATTTGCAGGCATTACAGCAGCAAACTAATATGGAATCCACTACACCTGGGCTAAGTGAGGCGGAAATGAGTACCCAAGAGTCAGTATACAGTGTTTCTAAGGCTGATGATCGATATTCACAAAGTGTTATCAAAAGCAATTCTCGCATGGAAGACCAAGTTCTTGGCATGCAAGGACCTAAAAAAGATGAGAGAATGTTGAGCCCTGCAGGACATATGTCGCAGCATGTTGGCCATATAAATAATTCAACTGCTCATGATGCTTCAAAGTCAACAGACATGGCCCAGTCCACTCAAGGAAATGCTAAAGATTTAAGTCAACAACATACCATGATGCATAAAGTGCACGAAGCAAAACTTCCTGAACAGCCAAGTACATCCCCTCAACTCCAGGCTGTTTTGAGGCATCCTCAGCATCTACAGCTGCCGGGGGCACAGGTACTTCTAGAGTCAGACTTGCAAATGTTTCAGCAGTCTATTTTACAGTCTACTTTGGCTCAAGCCAAGGCACCCACGCCAATGCAGCGGATCCAGAGCCCTCAGCAGGTAGCGCATCAGTTCCTTCAAATGGATGGACACATTATCCAGAGCAACGGAGGACAGCCTCAGCAATCACTCCACTCTCAAGGCTCCGATGTGGTCAAAATGGACACTTCTGATGGGAAGCACTTGCACCAACACTTGCAAGGCCAGAGAGCGAGGATAGACTCAAAGAATCAGTTTGACTCCATAAACCCAATGTGTTTCTCAGACAGCATGCTGCTAGGCGATGAACGCAACTTTTTGTCTCATGTTGATGACATTTTAGCCGCTACAGCAGCTCAAGAATTTGCCAAGTCCTCTGGTGACGAAAATATGTCGGTCAAATCTGAGGACTCCAAATCTCGTTTTCAGTCTTTAAATATAAGAAACATGCCTACAAATTTCACATCTTCAAAGCCACAACAGAACCTAAACAACTTATCTTTAAATGGTGGCCAAACAGCAATAAACCTTTCTACTGTATCCACGCCTCATTCCAAAAATGTTAGTATTGATCAGAATCGCATTCAACCTTTAGAGCAAGATTTGCCAAGTGGCATGGGTTCACCAGTGCTTGGGACCAGCCAAGAAGACCATGAGACGAATGCTGATGGGAGTAAAAAGCAAGACTCTAAGGACACTAAGGATGTTCCTAATGATGGAAGAGATTCCGAGTTTATGAGCGGTACCAAGAGCCTTAATGAGGAGGGCACTTCACCAGGAGGAGACTTTATCATGGGCCAAGATGAAAATGGAGCAGTTGTCGGACAGCTGCAGGGTCAAAGTCAACATATGTCAAAAACTGACCCTCAGGGGAGTGGTAGCTCTGGTAGCCAAATGGATGAAAACTGCCAGGACCAAGATGGCCTCCAAAAGAACAAGGTGACGGACAAGATGCCAATTAAACCGTTTACTGAAGATGAAAATGCAAATCTCAAACAAGGAAAAAGGAATGTACAAATGAAACGTCCCATGCTTAAAGGGCCAGATGTGCAATTTTCCTCACATGTTTCTGAAGGGTATTATGATACCTACCAGAATCAGGAGAGGATGAGGCAAAAAATTAAGGAAGTGGAGGAGAAACAGCCAGAAGTTAAGACGGGTTTTATAGGCTCTTTCTTAGACTTTCTAAAGACTGGACCAAAACAGCAGTTTTCTGCTCCTGCTGTGCGTGTTCCCAACAGAATCAGAAGACCATGTACCCCTGTGATAAAGTCTCCCTGCCCTGGTCCTGTTACTCAGACCCCTGCTGCTGCTGGTTCTGAGGTTGTGAGTTCTCCGAAAAAGCCTGAGGAGGAGCTAAAGAAGAATCTGGAGGCCCTGCCCTCTTTCTCTTCTGACGATGATGATTCTGTTGGAGGCAATAACGATCTGCAGAAGAGCATCTCCACAGCATTGTCAGCATTGGACGAGAATGGAGAGAAAAGGATCAAAGCAGGTGAGCTTTCATATATTATTTAGCCAAATCCAAGCTGAAACTGTACTTTTAAAGGTAATCTATGACCAGGGTATGGACAGTCAAGTATACATATTCATAAGGAGTAAATGAGCATTGAAGGAAGCCCTTGCTGACCTCTGTCATTGCAGGCACTGTGGAGCTATCTATCCTTCACATTCACAGCAGAACATCTGAAGTTGTTCTGGAAGCAGCCCAGCTCTTTTTTTGCTCTCCTCTGCCAGCAGGAATTCGGCAGCCTTTCACCTGTCTAATCTCTAATGTTGACACAAAGCAGGAGCTCTGGCTGGAAAAGCTTGATGAGCGGAGCTGCTTAGAGAATGATTTCACAGCTTACTGTAAACTTTAAGGCTCTTTTTTTAAGGAACTTTGATAACTTTTTTTTTACTGTTTTTGAATTATGAAAAACCTGTACTTGGAGACATGGAGTCTACCCTGGCTAATCACCTGAAAATGATGGTTCTGGCTATGTTTCACCTTTAACAAGGGGAAGGGAAGCAAACTAGGTGTAGAGTGCAGGCACCTAGAGGTGCCTTCCAAACCTTAGTCACAGCTAGCGTTGCCATATGCCAACCCCGCAGGCAGGAATGGGCGAGAAGGTTTTGGTATCAGAAGAGTACTGTGAAAGGATAGTTTTTGAGACTGCTGTGCAAGCATATGAAGTTAATCCAGATTCCTGAACCTCTGCGCCATTTGCTGCCTTGGCCCCAGTAATGGCAAAACAAAGCATGCAGCTAGTGACGTTGTCAGGCTAGTGATGTGGTTAGCAAGGTCAATTTACTTGTTCCCAGTCAGTGACTTGGAAAATATTGAAGGCTTTAAGTCAACATAACATCCAAGCACTTAGCAGTTTCAATTGGCAGTAGCAGCCCATCAATTTTTTTCAGTACAGGTCCACTTTAAACAGTTGTAAACGGAAACTTGTACTAAGGGAACTACAGGGGCTGTTCTTGCTGTTAATATTTCAATTTTAGGTACCAGATTCTTTCAGCTAACTAGAAAGATTAGTTTTGGCGTTGGGTGTAATTGAAATCTCGTCATATTGAGTAACTATCTGTAAAAATTAAGTCAAGGCAACTGGACTTGCTGTATTTTTCTTGAAGATGTTTCACTGGTCATCCAACCAGCTTTCTTAATTCAGAATGACTTGTACAAAAATTCTCCACGTAATCTGTTAGTCGCAACCAGGTGTTGATTGATAATAAAAATAATAAATGCACTTTTTTTTTCTTTAAAGGAGAACTATGAGGTGAGTGCTTTTCAGTCACCTCATAGTTCTAGCCGACCTGTGACAATGAGACTGTCACAGGTCGGCTAGAAATATGAGGTGAGTGAAAAGCACTCGCCTCATAGTTCTCCTTTTTAAAGAAAAAAAAAAGTGCATTTATTATTTTTTGCATAGGAGCTATTAAAGCATTGCAGTCGTGATCAGTAGATCGTGGGTGCAATTCTCTGGCTCCTGCAGACTGTTCCTGCCGTCCATGTCTGTACCGAGGTGCAGTAACATGGGCGGGAGGAAGTGACATCACCGCACTTGTATTCCTTTGAAACTACCAGTCCCTCTGTCAAAGGGTCTGTGATTGGAGGATGATGCTGTGTGGGTGAAGCCAGGCACCTCCGTGCCAAATTCAAATAGGAAAACATTACTGCTCTGGGTTGTTCTTAACTGATTTTTCTAGCTATTAAAGCATATGGCCACCCGCCTGGCAAATCACCAGACTCACTTGAAATAACTCGGAAGCACCTGTCTGCTGCATCCAAAACGACTCCGAATAGGGAGCAGTCACTTTTAGCAGAGAGCCAACAGCTGGCAGGCAGCATTTCTGCTGAAGCAAACTCCCAACTCTATAAAGCAACAGCCACATCTGATTGTTCACACCATAAACTATTGGCTGGTGCCTTTCCCACCGCAAAGTACCTATGAAACTGGCCACCTCTTTGTAGTCACTCACTACATAACCATAGACGCCCCCTGCCCTCCACATGGCAACCTGGGCCTGCTGATGGGTCAGTCACAGCGTCTGGTGTGAGGCGCTCTGGCACAGTGGCATTTCATTAAGTTTACGGGCACAGCGGGGTGTGAGGCAGTTGTGCTGCATCTCATCCCCCTGCATTGATAAAAGTAAGATATACTTTACTTTTTTCAGCACACACCGCCACGTTTCTTATGCAAGGCGGTGGTGTGAATGGGCACCATTGCAAATTGCGTTAGGGCTGCACTGGGAACAATGGCCAGCACAGCTCCAGCACAGATGGTGTGAATGGACCCTTAGCAACCCGGCCACCAAACCATTGATTTCAACAAGAGTTTTCACTTAAGGTTATATGTGCACCTAATGTATTTTAGGCATGATCTATGCCTGTAACACCTCCCTTATGTAGACGTCAAAAGGCCTCAGACATTTTAGTTACTTACCCGGGGAAAGGGGGGGGTGTTTGAGGAGTGCTGGAGTTAACGCAGTTAGTTTCCAACTGGTTTGCGTTAAGCTAGTCTAGTTCATTCTGCCTCGTATAATCCATGGATTTTTTTTTTTTCACTTCTAACTCCTTGGTGGCCGTAATTTACTGCTTTGAATGCAATGAAGAGGAGAAATGCCTTTGCTGACATGTATATCACAGTGTGACTTGATGAGAAGCCTGTAATGTTTAATTACTGCTGCTGCATTATTCTAATACTGGTAATAAGTTCTCTGACTTGTCAGGGGTACCCATAAATCAAGCCTAAGCTTCTAGGTTAATCCTTCCAGGGAACAGAGCCAAGAATATAGTCGTACATGGCGAATATTTGGCCTGGAGGAATATGGGATTGCTCCACAGCAAGTGGAAACACATCAGTGTTAATTTCACAATTCATATTTTTTTTTAATTTTCTATCCATAAAAGGAGACAAGGCAGCTTCTTCGGGAAAGCCGGATTCCCAACCTGTTTCGTCCCCCAAGAACGCTCCGGATAAGCCGAAAGAGGCCCCCAGCGAGCCAGTCCAGGTCGAACAGCTGGCCAAACCACAGGAGTGTATCGCGATTGAAGGATCCACGGATGACGAGGGCTCAGAAAGCGGAGGAGAGGGCATTTATCGGGAGAGAGACGAGTTTGTGGTGAAGATTGAAGACATAGAAATGCTCAAAGTAAGTTTGCAAAAGTCTTCATAGGATGTTTATAAATTTGATGGGAGTGTCTGTACTACCTATAGGGACCATAGAATTGCTGTTACCATAAAACAGGGGTTGGCCAACTCCGGCCCCCCAGCTGTGGTGCAACTTCAGATGCCATTAGGCATTGCAAGACCCTGACAGCCTCAGGTATTACTCCCTGATGCATGATGGGCATAGCCAGAGTTTGCCTACCCCTGTCATGTAAATGAAAACACATATGCCTGGCTGCTGTTAGTAGCTATTTGTATATTATGCCACGGTGTGTGTTTCTGTCTGGAGTGCACTAAGGCATGGTTCACACCTGGGCGTTTTACAGCGCATTCCTACGCTCTGTAAAACGCTCAACATGTGAAAACCAATGATTGCCTATGGGCATGGTTCCCACCTGGGCGTTTTACAGCGCGTAGGAGCGCGCTGCAAAGCGCCTTACGCCCATAGAAGTACAGGAGCTTCTTTGGGGCATATTTGCAGCGCATTTCCATTAGGATACAGCCAGGTAGCCCTCGGAAACGCGCGTTTGTCGCACGGTTTTTTACCGCCTATGGCGGCACGAAAAACGCGCATATTCGATACGCCTAGGTGTGAACCCAGCCTTAAAGAAGAACTGAAGACAAACCTTTTTTAGGGTTTATAACCAATCGGCTTTTTTTTTTTCATCTCTGTCCCACTGGGGAGATTTTCCTTTACTTCCTGTCTAATAGCCACAACAAGAAGTGAGAGGAAAGCCTTCCAATGAGAGGGAAATCCCTGGTGGTCAGCAGGGCTAACAAAACTAGTGTCCCCATTGCAAAATTTCACAGATTCCTGTTCTGATGACCACCCAAAGCTTGGGATTTATTAATATTATAATACAGGATTTATATAGCGCCAACAGTTTGCGCAGCGCTTTACAATATACGGAAGACATTACAATCACAATACAATTGAAGACCAGATGTTAAGGAGGGCCTTGCCTGTGAGGGCTTACAATCTAAAAGATTTCCTTTTGCATTCAGTGATAATGGTCACCAGGCCAAATAGAGAATATAATAGGCAACAAAAACTTGATGGATATTCTAATCCCTCTCCACTATCCAAAACAAAGAGAACAGGATTGGCTTCAGCTTCACGGTAATTGTCTTCAGTGATGTAAACTAGTCAGGCACATGTTGCTATGACCTTGCTTGGTTCCCTCTCCACCTGTATGGAGAAAAATATGGAGGTTCGACATCGAGAAAATGCTAGTTAACTGTTTCTGGCTTTTATTTAAATAATATTATAAGCTAACAAGTGGACAAAATGTGAAACAAAATACACTTAACGGTTTCTAGTAGCTTTTTATACTTTAGTTTGAATACATTTCTGCATTCAAACTGCTTCTCTTAGTGCAAGGCTTGGCCCAATGAAAGCGTGCATATGCCAGGCCTGATCAGTCTCTGGGGATATTGGAAAGCACTGTAGTAGCTGGAGCTACTACAGTGCTGCCTGCGATCTTCCAGATTCTTTACCAAGCTGTGCTGAGCGGCTTACCCTCTGCTCTGAGAGGTCACTCGCTTGGCACAGCAGCTGTTCAGAGAACGCCTAGTAGTTTTACTATTGAATACACAGTGATTCATGATTGGTTGAGGGGTGGTGACGGCGCAGTCCATCCTTCTTCCAATCAGAGAATGGTTTGTATTCACTGTTACCATTTCTAGGAATTCTCTGAATGGCTGCTGTGCCGCGCGAGCAACCCCCTGTGTTTTCAGAAGGGAAGCCGCACAGTACAGAACCCGAAAGATCGCAGCCAGCACTGTAGTGGCTTGGCATATGCATACCTTTTTATTGGGCCAAGCTGTAAGTATGCATAATACTGGAGTTCAGCTTTAAAGAGGAGCTTTACCTTATCTTCAAAATAACAACAAAGGCACCTTTTGTAGATTGTTATTACCAAACATTTCTAAACACATACTTCTAGATAGTTGTCAGCTTTTTATTCTTTGCATACCTTATTTTTCCCTCCATATTCTTCTCCCAGTGGCCATTTTAACTAAGGGCAGGTTACTAGATCTTCCTGGAACTCTGGCACATGTGACTAGGACATGTGACCATGCACCTCATCTCAGGGGAGGAAAATGCCTTTTGCTGAGATCTTGTGAAATTACAGAGGACATTTCCCAGCAATGCTCTGCTGATGTAATCTTCCCAGGATGCAATGCTTGGGCACGATTACATCATTTGTGCCAAAGTGGACCAGGAAGTGGGGGAAAAAAAGACATTTTAAGTAAATTAAAAATGTTTATTTAGCTAATGAATAAAAGATGATTTCATATCAACGTGCAGAGCTGTATGCAGATGTGATTTTTAGTCAAAGGGCATTGTGGTGAGGAACTTCAATATAGATTATAGGATTCAAGTGGTTAGGTCCATGAATGGTTTGGCACAGTGGAGTCTCCCCAGACTGAACAAGTCGCTGTTTAATTGTTCTTCCGTTTTCTTTATTGCATTTGGATATTCCTAATGTCCTCTTGACTTCAGCTTGTATAACAGCAATGGAGCTGTAGAAAAATGTGTTTTTAATGTCTGCATCAGGGGTTTTAACACCGCAACACTTTAAATAAATACTTGTTAGGCTATATTTTGGAGTTGTAAATCTCATGTGATGTCTCCTCATTCTGTGATTTCAGGAAGCATTGCGCACTGGCAGGGAACCTCCGGCTATTTGGAAAGTCCAAAAGGCCTTGCTTCAGAAATTTATCCCTGAAATTCGGGAAGAACAGAGGTCCTTCGCTGCCACAAACAGTGTAAGTTTTATGTCTAGTACAGACGGGGCAGCCCCATAGCTCTCCGGCTGTCACGGGTCACTTTTATCCTCTGTCTGCATCTTTCTTTAACTAAATTGTATCGTCATGATTTCTTGTTTTCCATTACCACATTGTATTGGTTATAATATCGGAGTGAATACAGATCTCTTCAAAGTGAATTATATAACAAAACATTTGTTTAAAATGTAGAAAAATAATTAAAACGAACTGTTAGGGCCCATTTACACCAGTTGCCTTAACGTGTTGCATGCCATTCATTTTCAGTAGCACACAATGCACTAAAGCAATACACGTCTGACACACAAGTGTTGCAGGAAGACCCTCAACAACTGTGTCTTGCAATGTGCTGCTTTGAAAGAAATGGTGGTTGTCCATTTTTTTGCACCTCCTGGGACATTGGCAACCCTTCCAAATGAATGTCCTGCACTGCCCAAGCCCTCACTATTGGAGCAGAGCTTTCAGGTTTGGGGGAACATAAGACCTCCCTTATGTGACAGTGCTAAGGCCTAAGCAGCCAATCACCAGACAGAACACTGTCCCATTGGGTGTTGTCACCCCCGCCCCCATAGCACCTAGGCTGGGATGCTACAGAAGGGAGGTGATGATCGAAGATGGTTGGTAAGCATAAATGCTTGGGTGGTGAGCTATGTGCAAATATTGTCACTTTGCCCTGATTGGCCAAAATGAAAGCATCTCTTTAAGAGACAACTTGGCTGAGCCATACCTTTCTAGTGCACCTTTATAAACTGTAGGGCTGCAGCCAACTAATCAAGTAATCGATAATGAGAATAGTTTTCAACTACTCTCATTATCGATTAGTTGGTTGGATCCCCTAGCTCTTTCCTCCACGCTGGGAGGAGGGCACAGCAAGCAATGGGCGGGTGCAATAGCAAGCCTGCAATTGCAATTTGAAATGGCCAATAGCAGACTGGCTATTGCACCAGCCCACTACCTGCTTTATTTACAGTCAGCTGCCGTCTGCAGAATCTTGCCACCGGCAGCCTTCATTCCCGGGCTGAAGCTATTCAAGGGACATGTGCTTACAATACAATTATTTAAAAAAATCTATAAAAGGTGGGAAAAAAGTCAGTTTAGCCTGACAGATTCTGCTGCAGGAGGTACGTTGCAGTGCCATTTATTTCAATGGCACCCCAAACGCACCTCCCACCCAATAGTGTGAAATACACAGTACAGCAATGCCGTGCGTCCCAGTGCAGTGCGATTGCAAAACATTGTGCACGCAGTTTTATTCTAAAGTAAACTTTGTTTGTAACACTGCATTTTATTTTAAATTAAGGATGGTATCCGTTTCATTTTTTTATCTGCTTAATTGAAAAAATAATCTGCCAACTAATTGATTATGAAAAGAATCATTAGTTGCAGCCCTAATAAACTGATTTACTTTTATTTTTCCATTATGCAGTATCTTGGTTACTTTGGAGATGCCAAAACAAAATATAAGAGAGTTTATGTGAAGTTTGTGGAGAATGCAAACAAAAAGGAGTATGTGAGAGTATGCTCCCAGAAACCCAAGGCAAAGCCGACACCTGTTCCCAGGTATATGTACTTTCTCTTTAGACATTGTGTACGGAGCATTTCGTCGCTACAGTCGTCTTTCTTTTTTTTTTTTTTGTTATTAATCAGACATGAAAATATGTATTTTATTTTGACTTGGAAGTTACATGCTGAATAGAGGGTACCAACCTAATCCCTAGTTCAAGCATCCGCTTCCCTCTGACCATACAGTGGCCTCAACCACCTATATTTCAATGTTAGAGGGAGGCAGCACTAGAGGCTTATAGTCTGGCCATGGAGCATCGTGAATAGGTTGCCATATGAGTAGAAACATAATCAACTATTGCTCTAGTGATCGCTAATAGTGATTTCAGTGCAGTGCTCCCTGGCCTAGAGGAAGTTGGCTCCAAATATAAGAAGCCGTTCCTAATAATGTACGTATGGTAACGTTTCATTTTCTACATTTTCTGCAGTCGAACGTCTCACAGTAAGGTCAACACAGCCAACAAAGCGGCAACAGAAACTCCTCCACCAAAAACCACCCCTCCAAAAGTCGTGTCTGCAAAACCAAAAGCCAAGCAGCCAAAGACAAAGGCTGAACCTCCACCAAAGAAGAGGAAGCAGTGGAAGGAGGAGTTCTCCTCTTCACAGTCCGATTCCTCTCCGGACATGCAGAGTGATGAAGAAGGTGAGGCAGTGAAAGAAGAGGCTAGACACAAGGGGACTCTCTTTCAGTAATTGTATTCTGTTCTGTACAACACTTCTTAATGTTCAGTCAATAAGAGCTGCTGATTTCCTACAATTGACTTCCATTCACTTTGCGTTCCAGAGTTTGAGCCTCCACCACCTCCAATCATAACTCGATTTTTAAACACAAGAGCAATGAAGGAAACATTCAAGGGATACGCTGAGCTTCTTGTTGGAGTTGCGCTAGAGGCAGACACGATCCAGAATCTAGAAAAAAACAATGGTAGGACATGCAATCTATTGTATGCTTGTATCAATGCTATGGAAGATAAATAATAGCTTTATATTTCTAGACTAGACTACATATTAGACCCCACAAAGTGAGTGACTTCGAGCAGAAACATGGTCCCTTAATACATAGGACCAAACCATTTGATATCTGTGTGCTCTGAAAGTCAGCCATGTATTAAAGGCATCTTGATTATTGGCAGATAAGGTTCTTTTTTTTTTCCATGTCAGTGTTGTGACAGAGGAAGTGGGCGACACAGAACCCACATAGAGATTAAGAGTAGTTTAATGGAGCCTAGGTGAAGAGGTCTTAAGAGGTTCAACACAGGGGTTGTAATGGAAAGATATGTCCCCCCGGACGGTACTCAGGTGCAGAAAGGGTTAAGTCCACAGGGTCTTGGGGCAGCAATCTCTGGCAGCAATTTAGGCACAGAAAGGGTTAAGTCCACAGAATCACAGGACAGCACTTAAGCACAGCAAGGGTTAAGTCCATAGGGTCACAGGACAGTGATGTAGGCATAGCAAGGGTTAGGCCCACATGGTCACAATGCAGCAATTTAAGCACAACAAGGGTTAAATCCACAGGGTCACAGAGCAGCGATTTAGGCACAGCACGAGAGGTTAAGCAGCCAGCCTCGTCCCCATATGGCCTTGCAATCCTCAAGATCGCAGCCTTTGTTCCCGGGTGGCTGCTGGTGGCGGGATCACGGGACTCCACACTCTGGCGCGAGCAGGTTGACTGGTGCCCAAGTGTTACGCACCCTGCTGCTGGTGACTTCCTGGTCACTTGATTTCCCAGCCAGTTGCAGGTGAAGATCAAAAGCTGCTCCTTGGCACCCTGCTGGGGGTCAGGGATCTGTGTCACTGTCGGGCGGGCTTCCGATCACTGCAAACGGGCAGTGTGCGGGTGTGCACACCGGCCCGTTCGGCAGTTGTCGAACAAGCTGGCCACTAACCTTCTCGGCGGGGTTTCAAGCCTGCTTGTTCGACGGAAGACGTGCGACCGTACAGTAGAAACGGTCGCACGCTTTCCATACACTGTACGATTATCGTACGATCGCGCGATTTCGTACAGTGTATGGGCACCTTAAGACTGGGGCTGGCGCCAGTGACAGCTGGCCCGGACAAGTCTGGGGCTGCTGGGGAGGGGGCGAGGGAGTGCTGGGGGGAGACTGCCGGCCAGCAAAAAGTTTTCTTTTTTTAATTGGGTATAGTCAAAACACACAGGTTCAAAGTTGTCATAGTTAGGAAGGGATACGAAATGCATACAGTTAGAAATGCAACAAACGTTGGTTAGGAATCCATTGCTTATGAGTAAAACAAGCATGACTGGTGAGTCAAGGGGAACTCTGGACCTTGCTTCGTGACAGCCAACCGGTTGCTTTGATAACTGGAAGCATGAGGTGCCTTGTTGTTGGATCCAGTTTTCGGTTTAGGTGATAAAGTATATCATAGTACATGGGCGATCAATGTGCTCCTCTGTAGCTGCAAGTGCCCTGGCAGTGCATGGTGGGATTTGTACTTCCACATGTTCTAAAGATTGTAGATTGCCCACATTGACTAGTGAATCAGTGTAGTTATTGCAGGTTTTGAAGTGTAATTCTGGATTGCTGTTGTGCTGTGATTTCAGACGACGTGCTTCTTTCGCACATGAGAAAGATAGAAGGCATGCTAACGGAACACAAGAGAAGAGTGCTAACGAAGCTGCAGCTGGAGCAGCCAATGAAGGTACGGGTAACGCTTGCATTCATGAATACCGCACAGTAATGTAGAATAGCGTTCATCTTATTGACTCTCTACCGAATGACCTGCTCGGGAATCACTTTGAGAATTCTAAACTGTAAAATTATTATTTAAATGGAGCAAATTCAAAGATTTTGGGGTAATTTGCAAGGCTGGTATTGGTCATTCAAATTCAGCTGTATACAATCTAACCCAGGGATGGCCAAACTGCAGCCCTCCAGCTGTGGTGGAACTACGAATCCCTTGAGGGTCTGCAAGATTCTCACAGCTACAGACATGACTCCCGGAGAGAGATACTTCATGGGATTTGTAGTTTCACCACAACTGGAGGGCCGGAGTTTGGCCATCCCTGATCTAACCCCTGTCTTGGGAGTCGCAAACAAACATATTATAGAGCAGCAGCTGTGCGCAGCTCACAGGACAGGAGCAGCGTTCGCATCTAAAGGGAAACCGCAGGTGCCCTCAACATCAGGGGACCATCACTGCCTTCCATAGCACTGCATATTGATGCAAGGTAATGGCCAAATGGCAGCAGGACATCTTAGGATAGCTGAGTGTGTGGTCAGTGTAGTTATACGCAGGAATGCAAGACCTGGCATTGTCTAGAGGTGACCGCTCCCTTCTGAAACATACCACCCCTCCCGACAGACACTCAAATGATGGTAACATTTGTGGTTATCCCTTGGTCTGAAACATAGCTGTTATATACAATGAGAGAAATTTAACAAACGTGGAGCAGACAAAATCTGGAGCAGCTGTGCATGGCAACCAATCAGCTTCTCTGTTTCATTTTCAAATCTTAACATATTGAAGAGAGAAACTGGTTACCATGGGCAACTGCTCCAGATTCTATGTGCTCCAGTTTTGATAAATTCCCCCCAGTATATTTACCCGTGATCATTCTTAAACGAACTACAAACTTTTAAGTGGTCCCTGACACTCGTATATTACTTATTGGGGGCTCAGGCAGTCCCCCTACATCAGGGCTTGGAAAGTATATAAGATTTTCACAGAGTCCAATCATTTCAATGTAATAAGTTATAATGTTGTTGATATTCATTTAGCACAATAGCTCAGTAGCTAGCATCATCCTTTGCTGACCTCTCCTTTTTGAGAAGGTTAGTTCCCTGGCTATTGTGCTGATGCTGTGGCTTCAGTTCTTTGAGTACCTGACTTGGAACAATATAGAGATGAGCAATTCTGAAACTCATGTACGGCGTGCTTGCTTTAGGTCTGACTCTGTGAAGGGAATTTATCAAAACTGGAGCCGCTGTGCATGGCAACCAATCAGCTTCTCTGTTTTATTTTTAAACCTCAACTGAACAAACTGAAGAGAGAAGCTGATTGGTGGCCATGCACAGCTGCTCCAGATTTTGTCTGCTCCGGTTTTGATAAATTCCCCCCTATGTGTATTGTATTTCAGCCAAATTCGATCTGCAAGCCATACAACTTTTATGCATTTATAATGTGGCATGTAATTGACATTTATAATGAAGATAATGCTAATTCTTTTTTCTTCTTCCTAGAATGCCGTGGAAAACTACCCAGATATAACTACAATTAACCGCGATACAAAAGGAAAATCGGGAGGGACACCTGTGTGTAAAATAAAAGTGTATGGCAAGTGGTACAATAAAAAGACTATGCGGCCAACTAAAACTTCAAAGCAGTCACAGGTAGGTTTGTGTGGATATGCGTGCTGTGGTTGTAAACTGTGGTCATGCCTGCTTGCACTGAAGAAAGCCAAAGGATCCTACTCCACTGCTAGCGCTGCTCAGTTAGGGCCAGTTCACACCATATGCAGTTGTGATGCAGTCTGTTTATTTTGACTGCTGAAGTCAAAATACATCCCAATGCTTTCCTATGGGCTTTCTTGTGCTTAGTTCACACCTTTGCAGTCCATTCAGATGGAGTCAGAAAAAGTACTGCTTGTCCTATTTTACCTGCATCAAAACGCAGTGCAAAAGCACCAGAACGCAACGGATCGTATACAAAAAAAAAGACTCGATTGATTGTCATCACCCAGGGACTTCCTCTTTGTAGTGTGGAGAAAAAGTGAAGAGATGGAATTTGTGGATGCAGATGATTTCATCCAATATGTGCGAGACTGTCCCCTGCTGTTTGACGGCAAACATCCCCAATATAAGAATAATCACCAGAAGATGGCAAAGTGGAGGGAAGAAAGCATGTCTGATCTCCAAAACAAACGTAGGAAATGCTTTGACAGGAAGAGGAAGTGACCTAATTGTCTAATTAGCATTTTCTAGTGCAGAATAAAAGGGATTGCAGTGCAACTGCACAGACGCACACAGTTGTGATGCAGTTTCTGGTGTGGACTTGGCCTAAACCTGATATTGGCCTGGGCCAAAGAGATTGCACTTTTAGGCCCCGTTCACACTGAGCGATTTATCGCATATTTCCATGCGATATTGCTCTATGTAGCTTCTCCAATATATTTCAATGGAGCTGTTCACATCTCGTCGCTCAATATTGCTCAATATCGCTTGTAGCTCGTCGCTGGTAGCTTGTCGCTCCTACATGACCCTTTTTTAGAGCGATTTTGAGCGATATTGCTCCTGATTGCATACAGCCCAATAGGAAAAAGTCGCGAGATACTCATGTCGCTCAGTGTGAATGTGGCCTTAAGCAGAATACTCACTGCAGTCCAAGCACACCTGGCTTTACCTGGAGCAGGTCATCCCCAGTCATGTAAATATAAGGCTGATGTCTATACTAATGGACATCTTCTAACACTTCGAAAGGCTCCGGTCTCAATAGGTCACTTCTACCTAAGCAAAAAACAAAATGAAGGATTCCATGCACCGCATTTAACTTTTAGACATTTACTCTACAGCCAAAAACCTTCTGAACCTTTGCACACATACCCCATGGGGCACTTAGATCCCTGATGCCATTGGATTCTTTTGATATTTGTAATGAGAGGTGTGGCTGTAACTCTGCCAACTCGGAGCATCCAAATAGGTGGGTGGGAAGCAGCATTTTCAGTTAGGGCCTGTTCACACATACTGCGACGCACAAGCAATGCATCCAGAGATAGTGATCTCTTCCTAACTGCATGTAATCGTATCACATAGAAGTACATGCGGCGTTCTAGCGCTCTACCTCTTCGAATCCAGCCGTTGTCCGGTCATTAACTTGAATGGGTGACAGCTGCTGCTTGTAAATGCAAATTAGGGATTCCTGCTGCAAGTAATCGCAACTTCCTGCCGCAGGAATCCCTAATCGTACCTAAAATATAGGTGTGACTGTGGGCTTACTCTTGTTGGAAGGCATTTGGGAACCCCAAGATTGTCTGACAACTATCGATTAGTTGGTTGGATCCCCTAGCTCTCTACTCCACGCTGGGAGGAGGGCACAGCAAGCAAGTGGGCCAGTGCAATAGCCAGCCTGCTATTGGCTATTGCAATTTGAAATGGCAAATCGCAGACTGGTTATTACACCTGCCCACTACCTGCTGAACCTTGCCACTGGCAGCTGTCATTCCCCGGCTGAAGCTATTCAAACGCCATGTAGCTTACAGTACAATTTTATTTAAAAAATAATTATAAAAGGTGGGAAAAAGGGCATTTTCGGTTTCAGCCTGACAAATTCTGCTGCGGGAGCGGCGTTGCGGTACCATTCATTTCAATGGCACCCCAGTTACCTACCCCTGCACTATACCAAGATAGTGTTTTTGTTGCGCCCTACCTTCACCCATAAAATTATCAGGTGACCCATTTAAAAATCCCAGCAGAGGTCATGGATACCCTTTTTATTTTATCAAAAAGAAGAAAAGAAAAAAAAGATTCTATTTTTAAATATCGGCTTTTAGGTTTAAGCGGATATGATGGCTGTTACATCATGGAATGTATTTCTTTGTTTTATTCTAGGAGTTCACTATAGATCCAGGAAAGTCCCAGCTGTATTTACTTTATCACGCACTCCACCATTACAAGTACCACATATATCTTATATGCAAAGATGAGGTAAGTACTGTTTGCTGAATTTTAATTTCTACTCTCGTGCCAAAAACATTTATATAAAGCATCTGCCTTTAATATAGCCATATAATTTTTTCTATGAGTGCAATAAACTAAAAAAGGAACAAACCCATTTTAACAGAAGTATATGGTAAACGAATTCTGGTAAGAGTGTGTTCTGTTTTTTAATTGGGAGTGGACCTTGTATATACAGTTGAGTTCCTTTTTTTTTATTTTAAGTGCAGCAATAGTAATCGGAGTGGGAGGTGAAGAGAGAATAGTGTGCCCGAGGATAGTAAACAGTGTGTCTATTTCAGACTCTGTTCCATCAGTTGGGCTGACTCTCTTAGAAGCAGATGTCACGTTACACACCGATATTGCAATGTGATGGAAACTGTCCATGTAGCTTACCCTTACTGTTCCTGAGCAGCTGAATGGGCAGATGGTCTCACTGTTTGTCACTCTCTTAAGGCCTGTGTCAACAGGCTTTAGACTTGTGTCAATCACATCAGCTTGAGATACTGCTGAGACCATTCAGAATTCATTGACATGTGCAGTTGACCTTCTGGTCTGCATTTGACCTGCTTCAAGCTGCTTTTGCATTCTCTTAGACATGTATGGGAATGCATATCCTGTTTGACACGAACAAGAGCCCATTGACGCTGGTACTCGAATGCCGTCTTGTGTGCAGTCTTCAGCTTGTAGTAAGCATCAGCTACTGCTTGTTGAGGATAGCTTGATTGGCAGACATCATTTGAGATCGATTGAGAAGTGTACCTGTTCCTTTTAATTTACCTTGAAAGGCAGACGGTGAGAAAAGACATCAACATTTCTTATTTGTGTTTTAAAGGCGCAAGCCCAAAGGAATCTTTTACACTTTATATTCTGCTTAATGAATCACTGACATGGGGCAAGCACGCATTATCTTTCTTTAGTTATGAAATGCTGGCATATTACTCAGTGCCGTGTGATAGTAAAAGGTTTGATATACAGATTCCCGACTAAACATGTAGTACAACATGCAAACATGAAAGGGCAAAGGAAATGCTGAATACAAATGCCTTACCATAAAAGTGTATGCCCGGTGCTAATTAGATGTGATTCCTCCAGAAAGGTCCAGAGTCACCCCACGTGCTTTGGGGACTGTTCAATAGATAGAACATATTACCATCCCTTGGGTACATGCTATGTGGACTGCCATATTATTATTATAATACAGGATTTTTATAGCACCAGTAGTTTGTGCAGCGCTTTACAATGTAAGACATTACAATATAAATCAAGACAAGATGGTAAGGAGGGCCCAAGGCGGCACCGTCCCTCCAACCTGCTGTACAATTCAAATGCATTGTATTATAAACCGCATGTATATAATATAGCCGTCAGAGGTGTCTCGTACATTAGTCCATGTGCTAATAATACTGCATACATGAACAAAATAAGCATATCCATGATAAAATAAGCACATGTTAGCACAGCCACAGGTATGAGCAGCCGGTAAGTGCAGCATTAAAGCATTAGGCAGCAAGCTGTAAGCAGTCAGTGATAGGTGCAAGAGGCAGGCAGTATAATTGCAGAGATCACAAGCCACGTATGCTCATTCTGAGGCACATAAGCTGCTAATACACCCTGGATAGCCAATAGTTCAGCTTCAGTGGTGACTTGCGTTCCATCAGTGAATTGAGAGCTAGTCCATGCGGCAGAGTACATCTCCCTCCAGTATGTGTTCCTGAAGTGGGTCACGTGACATGTGGAACCAGGAACGCCTTGTGCACTGTAATATCAGGAAGCCAAAAGCTGGTGGTGAGTTCCAGCACCGACGCACTTTGTCCACGGTAACGCAGACTTTTTCAAGGTGTACTAAGACCTCACAGGAGAGAAAGAGAGCCCGAGCAAGATTACAGTCGTAGAGTAGACGGTGAATTGTGGGAACACCTAATTCGTACCTACTTATTCCAAGCCTGAGACTCTGGTAATGAGGAGACAAAATATTGACAGTTGTGGAACTTGTACCATCAGACAAGTCAGTCAAGTTCCCCATTTATATCCTGCTAGGGAGGGGATATACAATGTATGCTTTTGCAGTGACTATTGTCAGTTGCCTTTTTAAATCTGATGGCAAGTTGAAGCTTGAACTCTAGAGGGCGGTGTTGCATTTATAATGCTTAAAGAAGCACTCCGGGAGGATCTGTATGGATATGAAATGCCAGAATATTCAACACCATATTAGTTTTGGAAAAATGACAATTGGTTTTTACCAGAAGAAATCTGCTCATGTCTTTAACAATCAGGAACAGAGGGATATGCTGAATGTTTGTATCTCCTAGGCAGTCCTCTGCTGCTTTATACATTGTAATTCGTTCGACTTTGTACAATTTTACAGAAACATTGCATCCCTGGCATTCCTAACTTCCTCTGCTAGGGCTTTAAAGGGAATCTCTCAAGAGCATAACGCATGCTTCCATTGCTTGAATACGCTTTTTGAGCATGCTCCTTGCCTGGCTGTCAAGATTTGGCTCCTATGCTTTGAGTCACTGCCCTTAAACTCATTTACAGCATGCATGTTCTGGATCTTTCATTTAAAAGTGCCAGACAACCGTGTCGCAGCCCCCATACCTCTGTTATCACAGTTTCACTTGAAAGGGAACCTACTTTGAGCAAAACATGGTTGCTACAAAATAGATTAGCTTTCTGAATTTCTGTGGTTTGAGTTCTTTCAGTCACTGACTTGGAACAAGGATGCCAATTAGAAAATCGGTGAAGTCAGAATTTCTGGCTTAGAAAGGGTTGCCTTAGAAAGGGTTAAAGCCATTGGATCAGCATTTCAGCCAGACATCTAGCATTTTCAGAAGTAAAGGATAGCAATGGCAACCTCCATGTAAAGTACAGGATGCTGGCAGCAGTAGATATAGGCAAAAAGTTTAAAAAAAAAAACACTTTAACAGCGGTTTAAACTTACCCCGTTTTCGCAGCGCGCTCCCGCCCGAGAATCCAAAACTGTTTGGGCGGCCGCAAAGCATCTTGGGGCGGGTGCATGGGCAGTTCGGATTTTCAGCCAGGAGACGAGCAGAGACGCAAGGTAAGTCTATGGACGCGTGCACCCGCATGCAGACACTGTGGGATCGGAAGTGCCAGCAAGCAGAGTAGAGTCAACGCTGGATCGGAGAGCCGCCGCACCGCTGGAGGGACAGATGAAAACATCAGGAAAGAAGAGGAAGATCGGAATAAGAGACATCATTTAAGGTAAGTGCTGACATTAACGTTGGTGGGAGGGAAACATTTTTTTTACTTTAGTGTCACTTTAATCCGATCAGTCATTTATAGCCTGGGCACAGGGATGTTGGTTCTTTAGTGTCCTGGTGACAATCGCTCTTTCATTTCCTGGTCTTTTATCACGAGGATGGGAAGTATGGGAACCACCCCAATAGGGTCACAGACATAATGTTCTGTCAAATGTTAACTCTTCCTTCCTCAATCATAACAACCCCCCCCCTTCCCGAATGTTTTGCCTGTAGTTAGACTTGACATGTTTTTCCTTTCCCCCCCAGGTTACCTCTGTTCAGAAATCAAACCGGGACCTACAAAAAGTGGAGCTTGTTAACCACTGTCTGAAAAATATGAAGTGGGTGGAGGAGCTCTTTGAGAAATTTGGTGAACTCTTAAGCCGGGTGCAGCAGACTTGCTCCTAAAGCCCAGCCCTTTCCTTTCCTGTTTTTTTTTCTTCTCTTTTCCTAAAGCTGCCCTGCCCTCCTTCCAGTGTATACCACGCAACAGCACTAACATACTGCGAGAGGAGACAAAGGACATGGAAGTCACATATACATTGCTGTAGACTGTCAATGAATGTGCAGCATTGTCTCCCAAATCCAGGGATATTACGCTGGCTGACTATAAGCCCGGAGACGCCTGGGTGACAGACATGGCTCGTTTTTTATTTTTTTGTAAACCTATTGGGTAATGCTTTTTTTTTTTTTCCATGGCAAACAAAAATGATAAACAGCATGCACTAAATTATAGAATGACTTTATTCCTATAGCATTAACACTTAAACGGCTTTACTACAGTTTTTATGTTCCTCCCGCCTCTGTAAAAACTCACTTCTCTTCCTCATCCAACTTTTTTCCACATCCGCTTAAAACAAAATGATTTAGGATGGAGGTACAAGAACAATATCTGCTTCTTTCTTTTCTTTTTTTTTTCTCTCTAAGTTACAGCCCACCACACACATAGGATATTGTACATTTTGTAAAACAGAATTTTGCGATACATCACATTAAAAAGAAAAGAAAAAAAAAAAGAATAGCCACCGTGATTAAAACGTAGAAGAAAAAAAAAATCATTATGCTTTACGGACTCCTTTTATGAGTTGTCTTTTTGTTCAGGAGACTGAACGCGGAGTTGGTGCAATCCTTTTGACTGCTTTTTGTGTCAAATTATATTATAATGGATGAAAAAAAAAATGACGTTAACTATTTTCCCTGTTTTGAAGAAAACTATTTTCCTTTATACTGTGTTTGTTTTTTTTTTTCTTTAAAGAAAATCAATTGTACATTTTATCTCACGAATAGTTGTATTTTTCACAGAGAAAATATTGTGGTTAAAATTCTGTTTCCTGGATCTTTGTAATAATACACCTCCCCTTTTTTTTATTTTCCTTTTTATCTTTTATTTTCCTTTTTGTTTTCTTTTTTTTTTTTTTTCTCTCTCCAGTCTTCATTTTCCATGTTGATTTCACATTGTATGCAATATATCTTAAAGCAATGCTTTTCCTCTCTCTCTCTCTCTCCCCACCTAGATGTTAGCTACAGTGTTAACCGGCAAAATGTATAGCAGGTTACTATAGTTTTTACAATGTAGACAATGCAACCATTTTTTTCTGATCCTTGGAAATAAATTACTTACTTAACATGGAATGGATTAATGGAGCATTGTGTAGAGGGGAAAAAAATGGTTCTGTCATCAAGTGAATAATGCTTGACTCTCAACTTGTGGTTTCTTCTCCACTCTTAAAGTCGAAGTGAACCTGATCACTAAAATCTCTTATAAGCTTTAACATGTTAATGTAAATCCAAAAGTCTTTTTTTTAATCTTTTAAAATCTGCAGCTTTCATTAAAATAATACCTGATGATCTGGTCTTAAAGGTCAACTCCAGGAATTAAACAAAATCTGGGCCCCTCCCCACACTACAAGGGTTAACTGCTTGTTGGGTCTAGGGGTGGAGGATTAAGGAGTCAAAAATCTGAAATCTGGGCCCCGCTTCAGCAGACTCCCTTCATCTGTGCCATTTTGTCTGGTGAAGCCTCCTCTCTAAGATCTCCTGTCGCAAGCTTGCCTCCTCCATGTACAATTCAGGATTGATGGCCCTGCATTGCACGTGATGAGGCAGAGGGACTGCCAACAGGGGGTGCCTTATAGAGAAGCCTCCTCTCTAAGGCTGGGTTCACACCTAGGCGTATTGAATATGCGCGTTTGTCGTGCGTTTTTACCGCAATTTGCGGGGGGGAAACGCGCAACAAACGGGAGTTTTCGAGGGCTACCTGGCTGTATCCCAATGGATACTTGCGGTAAATAAGCCCCAGAGAACCTCCTGTACTTCTTTGGGCGTAGGGCGTTTTGCAGCGCGTTCCTACACGCTGTAAAACGCCCAGGTGGGAACCATGCCCATAGGCAATCATTGGTTTTCACATGTTCAGCGTTTTACAGAGCGTAGGAACGCGCTATAAAATGCCCAGGTGTGAACCAGGCCTAAGGCACAAGCTTGCCTCCTCCGTGTACAATCCAGGGTCAATAGACCAGCATTGTCTGTGATGAGGTAGATAAGTGGTTATCAACCTGTGTAACCTCAGGAACCAAATTTGTCCTTGGTTATTAAGTTGCGACCCAATCTGCACTGCATTGGAACGAATGGCATTGTGGTACCGCACATTCCAAACGGGCGATCGAACTGTGGGCTGGAGGTGTGTTTGGGGTGCCATTCACATGAACGGTAACAGAAAGGCACCTCCTGAACCAGAACACATAGTAGGAGCAATTGCATTGTACTATTGTGAACGGGCCTTCAAAAACACTGACCGACCCAATCTCACAGACATTCTCATACACACTTTAAGATCCACCCAGTCTCCCTATCTTACGAGAAGTGGAGTGGATCCTCAGCCTGGGTCCCAGTGTGGGCTGCTGTGCTGTGATGGAGCTCCATCCATATGTGCATTGCTTGCACAGCTCCCTTGGGCGCCTGGTAGAGGTGCCGGGAGCCAGAATGTGAGATCACTCCGGTCCAGGCACCTCTACAGGACATGTGAGGGAGCTGTAAGCAATGCATGTATGGATAAAGATCCCTTGCAGCCATAGCTCCAGTCCACCCCATCTTAAGCTCGGTGCCGGGCAGCATATTTCGAATGGCTTCTCTGTGCGAGAACTGACAGTACTGCGCTGGGGGGAGGCTGAGGAGCCTCTTGCCTAGCGTAGTGGAAGGCATGCGGTGACCCATTGAACACGGGGTTTTGACCCACCAATTTAGAACCACGGAGTTAGAGGGACTGACAACAGCCCTGGGTGACGGGGATAAGAGGAGAGCGCCAGAGCACATAGGATCAAGGAAAAAAAAAAGTATTGGAGCTTCTTTATTCCTCTTCTATACTTAACAAGAATTTAACCCTGACAGGAGGGGGGCTCACTGCAATTGTAGATTTTGAGCAATTACCGGAGTTAAGCTTTAAGGTCCTTTCGCAGGCACTTGCAGTTATACAGTGATAACACTCTCTCCCTTTTCCATAGTTGTACTCTTGCATTGTCACTCCTAACACAAACTTCCATTGGAGATGAGTGGGTGTTTCAATGTACATTGTGCAGTTAATGGTTCACTGTTGTCACCATCCGGAAGCCCACCCTAAAAATGCCATGCAGCCATCACTGGAGTACATGTAGACAGGAAGTGACTGAAAAGAGTGTAGGTGATCAGCAGCACTGAGCTGCAGCCAAGAATAAAATCAAAAAAAGTTATACACAGTTCTTTAGCAAACTATGTTATTAATTTAGGTTTTAAGTTAACCCCTGCTTTAAGATGTAGAATACTGCAGCATTATCTCTCGGACAGTTGTGTGCTGTTGTTTTATTTGTATTCTGTTTGTCAAAATGTAATTTCATTGTCGGGCCCTGAGGAAGCTGACTTGTCTCCTGCAGGGAAAAGTTAAAACTGTTACCTAACAAAGCATTCGGTTATCGTTCAGGTACTCCTGACTAGGCCTTTGTTATGTGACGGTTTTTGAACGTCTTGTTATTAACACCGAACAGGGGAGGTGGGAGATGGGGACTGTCTTGCAGCCTGACACTTCTGCCCTGACAGGGAGGGAATACGATTTGAAAACTAATGCCTAAGAAGGAAGGCCACATTGTTACAACAGTGAGTTGAGATCCAGGTTATTAGTAATTCCTATTGCTAACCAGTTCTTATTAACCAGTTGACATCCGCGGTGTTAAACCCCCTTCCCATCCAGGCCATTTTTCAGTATTCAGCGCTGCGGTACTTTGACTGACATTTATTCCGTCATGCAGCGCTGTACTGAAATGAATTTTATACCCTTTTTTGGGGACAGATAGAGCTTTCTTTTGGTGGTATTTATTCACCACTGGGGGTTTTATTTTTTTACTATATTAAGGAAAAATTACCGAAATTTAAAAAAAAAAACAGTTTCCCCTATATTAAATGATAAAACATTTATTATTACCCAATTTTTTGGTAAAATATAAAAGATGGGGTCACGTCGGGTAAAAAGACACTAAACATGTCAAGCCTTAAAATTGCGTGCGCGCGCGAAACCTCAAAAAACGATAATACCCAAAATTGGCCATAGGCGACGCTTTAAAAGCTGTTACCGCTCATCAGTTTAGTGTTATCAGTGATTGATGGCCCTAAAATGATTGCTCTCACTGCGACGTTCGCGGCGATATGTAACATGTGTAGCGCAATTGTAATTTTTGCGCGATGGGGCACCGGACGCATATTTACGTTTATAGGCGCGTAAACGTGGGGGTGGGGGAGTTAAACATTTACGCGAACGAGCACATATAGACGATCGGCGGGCTATGGAGCCGCTAATCGCCTATATGTGAAACACCCGGTAACGGGTGTGTGCAATGGTCGGGTCTTTTCTGCCCGTGCGTGCCCGCTAGAGCAGAAAAAAATTGCCGTCTGGAGACGGCAACCCGCAAATGCTGCAGTGCCGTCCGTCCGTTTTTTTGGTTTTTTTTTTTACTACGGGCGGACGGCAAGAGGTTAAACTGACCCGGTCACTTGTCTAGAAAATCTAACCAGAAACATCCTGTAAGAGAAGAAGCTGAATACCTCACCAGCAGCAGGAAGTGAGATCATTGCTGTCTTGCAGAGCTTGGACAGTTAGAGAGAATGAATCCCTAATGGGGGGGGGGGGGGGCACACATACTGCAATGAAGACCTGACCAGTGGTTCTGAACCCTCACTACTCTAAATTCTGCCTATGGTTATATTTTATTCTGTGTGTACAAGCCTGCAGAATGTTACACTCTTCAGACCAGTGCTTCAAAGATTGATTAGGCTAAGTAGTATACACAGGTGTTCCTTCAACCTTGGCTTCTAAGTCTCTTTTTTATTTTTGTTCTGAGCTACTGTTGCATTATGCACCTAACAGATTTTAGACCTATCCATTAAAGTGTATTTCTGGTTTATTTGGAATCCCACAGTCTGCATTTGACCCATTCTTCAGCAGCCAATCAATACCTACTCAATCACGTTTTAAACTGCCGTCTAGCTATTTAGATAAAGTGTTTCCTGTACAGTCATGTGAAAAAGTAAGTACACCCTACGACAGGGGTAACTAAACTGTGGCTCTCCAGCTGTGGTAAATCTTAAAATGCCATTAGGCATTGCAAGACTGACAGTCACAGGCATGACTTCCAGGGGCAGATTTGTAGTTCCACCACAGTGGGAGGGCTGTAGTTTGGGTATCCCTGCCCTATGGAAATTTACTGTTCAACATTTTAACAGCAAACATTAGATCTGCATACAAACAGTGCCTACAGATAAAGATGGCGTACTTTAGCAAATGGCACACAGAATTCACATGGTGTATTCATTCTCATAATCAAAAATGTGATTTTGTCTTGTGGAAAAAGTAAGTGTAACCCTACTCTTACCACCACTTTAAGGGCCAGTTCACATCTGCGTTCAAGCATGGTTAGTGGCTGGAACACACTGGATCACATAGTGGATCACATAGGGGGCATGGCGGTAGCATTCAAGTCAATGGCACCACAGACAGCCCCCCCCCTCCCAACGCCTGCAGTGTGATCTCCCGCACAAGAACATGTGATGCCTTTTGTTCTCGTCCATTGCGATTACAACAAAGTAGTGCAATAGTCTACAGTCACAAAGAGATTGCACCAATAGGTGGTATGCCAGGAAAAATACTTTGCTATCCAAAGAGAACATCAGAGCAAGACTACAGTTTCCTATTGAACATATAGGCAAAGACCAGGCCAGCTGGAACAATGTGCTGTGGACTGGTAAAGCAAAGACAAGATAGAATAGTAGACAGGTTTGGCGCAAACCTAAGACTGAATTTTAGGGGGGAAACTTTACACCAAAGGTGGAGCATGGTGGTTGAAGGCTTTAGGGCCTTGGCAACTTGCAGCCATCAAGTCCACTATGAATTCTACATCGTATTGATGTGTGATTGATGTAAATGTGAAACATCTGTCAGAAAGTTGAACCAGCACAATAATGATTTGCAGCACACTAGCAAATCCACCAAGCAATTGCTCAAAAAGAACTGGAGGGTTATGGACTGGCCTAGTCAAAGCCCTGATTTGGATCCTAATTAAATGTTGTGAGGGGTTATGAAATGGGCAGTTCATGTAAGGAAACCTATAAACATC